GACAAAAAAATCTACCTTTTCCATCTCAACATTCTTACTTTGCATTGTTATAGAAAATATTACATGGTAGGCATCTACCATGACAAAAGTTTAAATTGAAAATTATGCATTGTTCTAACACTTGTGGCTATAAAATCTCCGTAATTATCTATATTTTTTAAAATAAAATAAATTACTGCAGAATAACAGAACAAGAATAGCTGAAATAGCACCAAAATTGCGCCAAAGGTGTTATATGTGTTTTATGGATAGCATGATTTATCACCTCTCCTTGAAGTACTGTCCATACTGAGAAACTTTAAAAATCCAACACAACCCCTCCCCCCCCCAAAAAAAACCAACAAAAAAACCCCAACAAAACCACTAAAACACAAATCCCACAAGATTTACACACATGTGATGTCAGAATGAGATAATTAGATGATTTTCAGAAATGAGAAAATTCCTCAGTTGGTAAGAGTCAGACATTGCAGCACTCATTACAGGACAAAAGCACTGTTTAGCAGTGAGAGTTCATCATTCAGCTGGTCAGGGGGTTTGTTTTTCCCATCCCATATGATCTGAACAATAATCCAGAAAAGGCATACTTTAGTTGCATCAATTATGAGCCTTTCTTTAATTTAAAGAAGCCATTTGATTTACTGATTATAGCCTTAAAAATATTTGAGACAAGACCTAACTCCCCACTCACTTTTATCTATGAGTTACAAAAATGCATTAACAATTCTCCAATGAATGGGTTTCATTAAGATTTGTTTTATAATCATGTTCTAGGATTTAATGTAAAACTGGATTGATACATTGAATTATCACAAGAGAATTTCTTGAGCTTTCAGAACATTAATTTCAAAGCACATTACCTGTCATATCTGAGCTGTAAATTTTTTTTTTGCTTACTATCTATAAAAGTAATTTTAACCAAATCAGGTCGTACATTCCTAAATGCATAAAGGCACACATCCAAAACTAGACTTCTGGCCTAGTAAAAGCCAGCAGAAAAAAAAAAAAAAATTTACATTCAATTCCAGTAATACTGAGAAAAAAAAGATTGTCAATAGTGAATAGGTATTTCAACCTACTGATCAACTGTATGAAAAGCATGGATGAAAATGTATGTGTCTCCACATCTGTTAACATGGGAAAGAAGGAAGATCATGGAGCAATAAAACCCATTTTTTCATTCTCTTCTGGGAAAATGTCATTAACACAGAACCTACAAGCTGTCCTCTTGCAGTTTCTGAAGGGCTGCTGTTTTCATTCCTCATTCTCCATTAAGTTTCCTTTGCATTTTTCTCTGGCTGAACATAAAAACAGACTTTTCCATTTCAGAAGTGTTTATAATAAAGTTAATTTCTCTCCTAGGTCTTAGATGATGGTACAAGGTTAGCATGCCCAGGATGCAAAATGTTTATTGTACTGGGGCTTTATAGCCTGTAATGAAAGCAATGCCATAAATCATGCAAATGTCTGTTATACTCAAGACCTATGTCTGAAGGTGCTTTTTCTTTCCCACACAGGGAATTCTCTGCATTCTCCATCAAAAGATGCAGGTTTGCTTCCATACCTGATGTCTCCTTAGTGTGTTCCTAGGGGATTTTGTGAAAGGAAAATTAAATTCACACAAGCCTTATGCCTTCTAACTCACCCTTCTTCCAATCTCCTTATTTTGTCCATAAATCAGAAAAGTACCTGTGACTTCCATTGAAGTACCAAAGCCATGTAAACACAGGACTTACTTTTGCCATCCTTATACATGCATTACTATCACACACCTCAATGAGAATTTTGACCAAGGAAGGACTGAAGAATTCTGCTGGCATTTACATAAATAAAATACTATTTTTGTCTCCAGATATTGATGAAGCATTGGAATATCACAAATAACCACATCCTATACAATAAGCTACACCAGTTGACTTGGGTGCCCTGGCCACGATCCAGGTTTATAACTGTTATTATTACAGTGCTTGTATACTGTGGATGTATTACATTACCAAGAAAAACATTAATATCACATTAGCAATACCCATCAGGGGCTAGTGATTCTTTATATACTGCACTGTGTTACAGCATGGGCTCATTTTCTGTCCCACTGAGTGTTCTGGTCTTTAAATATTTCAATGCTTCAAAGAAATTTTTGTCAGCCAACCAATGCATGCAACATTTATTTTTCTAGTTCTGCATGGCTAGTATAGAAACACAGACTTTAAACATTAAATACAAGACTACTGGAATTCTGGTGTCCCTCATTTCAAAGAAGGACAAACCTTAAGCTCACACTTCAAGGAGAAGATCTTTGTGTGAGAAGAAATCACAGAGGACCAGACAAGCTCCACAGGTCTAGGAAGATGACATGTTGCATGTTCTTTCCTGTGTGTGCTATCTAAGGCCAGCCCATCCTCTCTTCACTCCAGTGAGTGGGAAGGAAATGCTTTGCAGCTCTAACCCTAGCACAGCTCTTTTGGCTGGCATTCAGTGCATGAGAACCTGTCTCGGTTGATTTGCAGCCTGTGAAGAAGCTCTCATTCCTAATAACCCTGAAGCAGACAATTCAGACCAAAGGAGTTGGAGGTGAGTCTTGCTGCAGAAGGTGTGCTATAAACATGAGCCAAATTTTAACCCTAAAGGAAAAACCTTGAACTTGCACATCTACATCCACTGCTACTACCTTCAGCCACAGAATGTGCATCAGCTCACCAGTCCCACATCTAACATGAAAGGCTGTCCAAAGAATTCCTTGTTAAAGCCACAGGTAAAATAATGGTGTAATTAATGCTGTCCTTAGAGAAATGCCTGCAATGCCCTTTCCTTTGTTATCACCATACAGCCCCTTCCACTGAGCTAACAGCCCCTGCCCCAAAACACTCTTTCCTCAGTCCCCCCATGACTGATGATACTCATATCATGAACAAGGTCCTTCACATAAAGCACTTAGTACATTATTTCTGTTCAGTGACAGAATTCCTCTCTTTCAAAGTGAATTCTCCACAAATTAGGAGCATTCCTGTATCTGTATCAACTCAATATCTGTTGGCACTACTCAATTTGCTTGCATATGCCAGCAAATACAAGCTTGACAACAAGCCCAAGGTTTATTGGGCAAATCCCAAATGGCGTAGACAGCTTCATTGTGGGTCACATTACTACCCAATTGAATGAAACCAAGAAAGGGGAGCCAAACCTCAAGCTTTGTGGGCCCATTTAAGCACTCATCCTGTGGGCATCCCAAATCATCTCAATGGCCAAGCAGGCAGGACAAGATGAGACATGGCCTCTGTGCTGGTCAGCACAGCCTGGCGTCAACACGAGAGAAAGGAGTCTATCCTTGTCTCTTCCAACAGACTAAGGTTAGAAAAACTGATTCATCCAACACTGGTATGTGACAGCACCACATTTCCAGCAAAGCTGGATTTGGTCCAGCAAAAACTTGAAGGCACATCACAGAAGAAACAGGGTTCACAACCTGAGTCAATTCCCTAAGCTTATCCTAGTATGTCTGATCTGTGCATCACTTCCTACCATGCTTAATCTAAAAACTTGTATTGATTACAGTCCTCAGGACTTGCTGAGCATTTGGAAACGGTGTGCTGTCATTCTACCTGTGCTGTCTAGCATCACACTCTGTTATAACACCTTCTTAATAATGGGGGAAGAGAGGAAGAAACAGAGAATAGCTTCTGCTGCATGATTCCCACTATCTCCAAGCCTCAATTGATTTATTCCATCTAGGCTTTGGCACTGAAAGGCAAAAGAGGAAATTGGTTTTTAATGAAGAAAATAATCTACAAAGTTGAGACAGTTTTGAGGAAAACCTTCAATAACTGTTGTAGGAAGATTAGAGAAGCAGCCTGAATGTGATGACATGTAACATTCATTTTAAAAGATTAAAAAAAATAAGAGGGCAAGATTCACTGTAAGACTGGAGAGTAATTTTTTCAGAAATGCAGCTTCCAACCCTTTCCCTTCTACAGGAAAGTTGCAGAGAGAAATAACCTATAAAAAGAGCCTCGCAATTTTATGTGAAAATATGGGCCTATCAAAGGCTAGTTTCCAAATAATACTGCCCAATTAAAAAAATTTGAAAATCATTACTTGGATCATTTGAGCTGTTAGCTGCTTATCAAGAGGGTTAATTGTCTTTGCCTTATCAGAACAAACTGACTGTGTTTTTAATTAATTAACTTGTCTTGTCTTCAAAAGGAGCTTGATCCTCATATTCTCAACCATACTACAAGTCCTTAATCCCTGATGTAACCCCATTGAAGTCACTAGAAGCATTAAAAATGGCACAACTTAGACTCGGGGCTTTAAAAGAAATGCACATGCCTAGGTTAAACAAATCCATGAACGCTTGCATGGTCGCCGGCTTTCAGAGGGATCAGCTTTTGGTAAGTCCCTAAGTGAAAGAATCTGGATAGCATTAATACATATTTGCATGCAATTGTGAAATTCGAGGCATTTTCCACTCCACAGTTTTCCAATAGACAGACCTGGTAACAGTGCACTAGGGAAAAAAAAAAAAAAAAAATCTGCCCTCAGCCCTCAAAATGGCAAACTCTCTCCTCACTTACGACAAACCTTCCCTTTCAACTCGGGCAGGCAGCCCTGGCCGATGCCCCGCACCGGGCGCTCCCAGCCCAGGGACCATCTCGAATCCCCGCATCTCCTCCCGGTCCGGAGCCGCCGCCGCCCCCGCCGGACGCCCCGAGCCCCTGCCCCGGGCCGGGCGCTGCCCGCGCCGGCCCCGGGGCGCGGATCCCGGCCCGCCGGGGCTGGCTGGGCGCTCGCCGTGCCGGCGCACCTGCAGCCCGAGCCCGCCGCCGGGCTCTCGGCAGGACCCGGGCGGCGCAGCCGGCACCGGCTCCGGCACCTGGATGCGCCGCTTCGGCGGAGCCGCCCGGCAGCGGCCGGGGCTCGGCGCCGCCGCCCGGCGCCGTCCCCGTCCAGGACGCGGCGGGCTCCGTGTGTCCGGCGAGAGCCCGCCCGCGGTGCCTCCTTACCGTTAGACCTTCGCACGATGTTCTCCAGGAACGTGTTCTGAGGCGCCACCAGCCCTCGCCTTCCCCCGGCCATAGTCGCTCAGCGGGAGCGCAGCGCGGCGCGGAGGCTCCGCTCAGGGCCGCGCCGACCCGCGCTCTGCCGCGCCGCCGCCCGCCCGCCCCGCGCGCCTCATGCCCCCGCCGGGACCGGCACCAGCGGCTGTGCGGCACCGCCGCCGCCGCCTCCCGCGCACCGCAGCCCCGCGCCGCCGCCGGCCCGCCCCGCAGCGACCCCCGCCGGCCGCCGCCGCGCCGCAACGCCGGGGCTGCAGCGCCATCGTCTGGGCCCGGCGCCGCGGGAGCGCTCGGCCCGACCGCGGCAGAGCGGCGCCGTCCGCCGGCCTCTTGCCCCGCTCAGGGGCGGCTGCCGCCCTGCTCGACCCCTCGCCGGTGCGCCCCGGGGGATGACAAATGCGAAGTGTTTAAAGACCGCTGACAAACTCCCGGCAGGCGCTCTCTTTGGCGGCGGAGGCACCCCCATATCCCACCCCGGTGGATCGCCGCGAAGCTCCGGAGTGTTTGCTCGCCGCCCTCATCCTGGGTCGCGCTTCACGCTTGCCTACGATGATTTCTGTTAGAAGGGTACTTGGTATTAAGTGGTCAAACTGATTAACAGCTCCGTGGAAGCAGCGAGACAAACTGTTTAAGTACAACCTTTCTCAGGTCTTGAACGCTCTGAATTTAACTGACATCAAGTTTTCAGAGATTAATCGACTTTGTTGTTCTCCCATACCAATCTATCATCTATAAATGGAAAATACTCAGCTCTTTTAAATTTAAGGCATATTTTTTTTCTTGCTGGCACTGGCATTTACTTGCTGTAATGCCTCATTAAGTGAAACACCTTCAGGCTCCGCAGCTCAAGGTATATTGGAGGCATGGAGAGTATGTTTCTGCATGTTCATGTGCTTGAGGAAAAGCTATTTCTCACAGCATGAGCAAATAAAGTATGGCAAACGCGATGGCCTGTGTCAGCCGGGATTTTTAACCACTACCACCGCTCTCACAGAATTCTGGCACTGCCCAGCTTGCTCTCTCCTGGAAAAGGCTTGGGCCAGGAGCACAGCACCGCCAGGAGCCACACTCAGCTCCAGTACAGCCACACACAGGATCCCATTCAGCCACACGGTGTGACCAAACAGTGACTGTGACACAACAGTGCCTGAGAAGCCTGACCTCCCTGCCACCAGCCTCCTACGGCATTTTTACATGCAGAGCATGAGACCCGAGGGGCGAAGGCAGGTGACAATTTCACTGCAGCAGCAGCTACAGATCAAGTCCCTGAGCATCCTAGTGCCAGCAGTCCCTCACACAGCTGGGCACCTGGGGAACTCCTAGAGCCCCTGTGGGTCAGCCCAGCTGCCAGGCAGGAATTGGCTGTGACACAGACGCCTCTTTTAAAGTGACAATTATCTGTATACTGGACACCTGCATTTGCTGCCAAACAGAGGCAGGTTAGGAGAAAAAAAAATCAAGTGCCTGAAGCTGCAAAAAGGCCACTGACTGTCCCTGAAATGTTGGGGTTTAAAAGAACCAATAAAAGAATTTATTTGCATCTTTACAAATCTAAGTATCCCTAACAAACATCCATGTGACAAATGGATTTATAAAGAATTTTTAAAAATTGACAGTAAGTTCATATAGTTTTATATATTTGTATATAAACACTGAAATAAGGTGTGTCAATTTAAGAAGGTCATGGAATAGAGATAACATTGTTGAGAGAGATTGAACTAGAAGTAAGTTTTAGTAAGTTTTAAAATACATTTTTGTAAAAAGACTAGATATCTTAGAGAATTAGAACTGTGAAAGATATATTGTAATAAGACCACACAGGGTAAAAATATAGGTGATTAGTGTTAGAAGTAATAGCAGCATTGTGTGGCAAAAGCTAATAGGCTGAAAAACATTTATAAACTATTGTAACCAGAAAATAGGTTAGCTTCTTATGGAATAGCATTGAGTTTTATGTCTTTTCTGTCTCACCCTTCATTGATACTGATAACAGAATAAAATCTTTTAAAACATCTCTCAGTTACCCCATCTCTATTAAAGCTAAGAAAACCAACAAATCCAAAGACCCCAGTTTATTTAGCTCCTGCTAGCTTCAGCAGCACAGACCAAACCCGAAGAGATTCGAAGCTCTCTGACGAAATTGTAAATGTAGCCTTTGACATTGAATTTACGAAACTGCTAACAACCAAGAGCGAGACTTGGAAAACTGGGATGCAGAGTAGTGTTTCATTATTCCTCAAAGCAACTGTGCCAGAGGAATAAGTGCACACTATATCTTAGCTTCTGCTGGGCTCTGCAGGAGTATCTATGGCTTAGGAGACACCTGGAAGCTGACATACATTACAGGAATTTTGAGACCTTTAAAGGAAAAAGGTTTCAAACTGAATCAGCAAGTACACAGAAGTGGGAAGGTGACATAAGAGTAAGAAACTGAAGACTTTTTTCTGGAGCTCCATGAAGTGTGGCTGGCTGCAGTTTATGTTGCATTGCATGGTCCAGTCTCTGATTACCTAATTTTTCAGCGTCATGCTTGATCCAAAGTTTCATGTCAAAGGTGCTATTTTATCTACACTGGTTTTACATTTACCCTGTAACACTGCAAATGACTAAAATGCTATAGCAAATTGTGGTGGGCTGACCTTGGCTGGATGCCATGTGCCCACCAAGCTGCTCTATCACTCACCTCCCCAGCAAAATAAGATGGAAAACAACCCTTGTAGGTCAAGAAAAGGCAGGTTACTAAGGCAAAAGAAAAAAAAAAAAAAGTGCACACAAGCAAAAAATCAAAGATGTTATTATCTACTTCTCATCAGTGAGTGATGTATTGCCACTTCCCAGGAGGCAGGGCTTCAGCACTCTGTGGATGCTCTGGAAGATAAACACTGTAAATAACAAATACCTCCCCTCCCTCCTCCTTTTCCTTAGCTGCTGTATCTCAGCAGGCAGCACATGGTATGGAATATCCCTTTGCTTAGTGGGTCAGCTGTCCTGGTTATGTCCCATCCCAAGATTTTGCCCACCCCCAGCCTCCTGGTGAGGGGAAGATGATGGAGTGACAGCACTGACACACTGCCAGTGCTGCTCAGCAGCAGCCAAAACACTGGTGTCTTATGGGCACCTTTACAGCTGCCAGTGCACAGCACAGCCCTGGGAGCTGCTGTGGGGAAAATGAACTCCCTCTCTGCTAGACCCAGTAACAAAAGGAAGATTTATCTTTTATCTTCTACCTCCTTTGGATTTTCTCCCCCCAGAATATGCAAAATTAATTATTCTTGCTAGCAGTAAGAGCAGGATACTGTGATAATGTTTTACTGTGATTATTTTGAATTCTATAGTCATCCTCTCACCACCACTTTTTGGTAAATTTTGAAAATGATACAGAGCTGGAGGTAAAGCCCCACTTGAAGCAGGACACGTACTCTGTCCAACTTCATTACCAGTGTGTTACCTATCTCCAGCTATCATTGTTTCTGAAATTTGAAAACAGGAGTTGCTTAATTTGCATGTTTGCTAAAGCCTACTGGACAGAACGAAATACCTAACACTTCAATTTAAAGCTAATATAAAAAGTGTTAGCTTGCTATAGAAGACATTCAGCTGTCTTGCATAATGTGCTCTTTCCTGAACAAGGCCTTAGGTCAGGACATGTAGTATCCATCGCCCCAGTAAGGCAATCCTTGGCTGTAGAGCCTCAAGCTCCTGTTCCATGTTTCACACTGAGCAGCTGCTGCAAAAGGACAGATTTGCCTTCATCTAAGCAGTGCAGGTTTGCCACCCCACTGAATTGCAATCCAGCCTGAAAAGGGCAGCTAAGACACGTCCCTCTTTGGCAGCAGCCTGTGTTTACATCAACCCATTTACTAACATGACTGTCAACTTCCAGTGCTCATACACACAAACATCTTGGAAACATCAGCTCCAAGAATTAATTTACGAGAAAGTCATTTAACCCCATAGCATCTATGAAATAAAAACACTGGAACTGGACAGAACTCACTTCTTTCACTTGGTCACGTGGTTCACCCTTGAGTGATAGTAAGGTAACTTTAAAAACTTTCCCCTTTGTCAGCCATTAAGAGTCTCTTAGCAATCTTTTCAATGTCTAATAAATCTTGTGAGAAAGCTCTTCCTAAAATGCCACCAAATCATCTGGTCTTCGAAGCCAGTAAAAACTCTTCCTTCTGCAGCCACAAAAATCACCAACCCTTTTGCAAGTTTTCAAATGCAAGAAAAGTTGCTGTAATGCTCATCTGTCAGCTCTTGCTGCCTCACAGTCTGGACAAACCCAGTTCTTCTGAAGCTGCACAAGGCTTCTGGTCTTAGATTCTGCCACTACTTTGGGACTTGTCATTTCATTGTCACAGCATCAAATGAGTGAAGAAACATGGTAGCTGGGACATCTCACAGGCTAAGAATTTAGCTGCTTTATATTGAAAACAACTTGTTTATTTCAGGTCTTTTTGATTTCTTCTCTGTTTTGCACACTTCATTTTGCTCTTTGTAAAAAACCAAGTGTCAAAACCAAGAATTATAACACAGTTATAGCAAACTACCACCAACCCTAAAAACCAAAAGAGCACTCGATCTTTAAATTGAGTTCAATTTGTAAACTATCATATGGTTTTCATAAACTATCAAAATAAAATACATTAATTGATAGAATAACAAATTACAGAAGGTAATACATAAGTTACACTGCCATACAGATACAAAACAAAAAAAATTCTGAATTCCAACTAAGATGGAGAAAAAATATAACTTTATTTATTTATTTTTACATTCAAATCAACAAAGTAGTCATTATTGTACAACTTCTTACCCCCAAAGCAATGCAGGCAAAGGCATTCTGTTAAGTAATAACATCCATGAATACTTAGTTGCTTGTGATTACCCTTGTTATCTTGTGGGAAGAGCAATGAGAAACAAAATCCTTAAAACTAAGTCAAGTCAGAAGTTTAACAAGCACATGTGTCCATCAAAAGGAAAGAATTTGAGAAGATATCTGTGCATCTTACTGAAATTGTTCCATTTATTTCTGCACTATCTTGAGACACTCATCAAGTTCAGCCTGAGGTTCCTTAAAGGTCCAATTATTTCTA